AAATATAGGTATACCCTAAGAAAGGGCATTCGCTAACAAGAAATTTGCTTAACGACGCACGAGCCATGCTAAAAATCAACGCCAACTGCCGATTATTCATAGCCGGTATCCATCCAATAATGTGGTTTTAGCGTTATATACTCTGCGGGCCACTGTTTCCCTCCCTTTTCCCCCGTTTCTGCTTTCTCTCTTACTCTCTCTCTTGGGTTCTGTTTTGAAAACGTGCTAAATGTTATTTATTAATTAAGTTGACGCTATTTTCTACCTATTTACATAAAACAAGGTAACAGTCGCCAAGTGTGAAAGAGAGTCATCATCGTTTCTGGACGAAGCCGGTTTTGGGAAAGTCGCAAAAGTCAGGGAGTGGTTCCAGACCCCAGACCCCAGACCCCAATCCCTAATCCCCATCAGTTCTCCAATCCCAGAAAGGGTCGCGTGCGAGGTGTGGGTTTATGTACATATTGCCTCAAATATGGCAACTGAGTTTTCACAAAAAAAAGTTTACTAATTATATTAAAATAATAAAAAAATAAAATATAAAGAAATGAGTATTCAATCCTTATCTTTATTGAAATATTGTGGTTTTTTAATAATTGTTTTTTATTTTAATCTTCAATTACTGTTATTTTCTTTTAGTGTATGCAAAACTATAATTAGAGAGAACCTAACAATAGGCCTAGGCGGTATCCGGGGAGTGAAAGGACTTTGGGGCAGCTTGATAGAGAGAATTTATGAAGAGAGAGAATTAACAAAGCCGGGAAGGAGTTCAAATGAGTCATGACCTTTGGCTCGCTCTGCGTTTTTAAAAATAGCCATCGGCAATTATTCCGAGTGTGAATTTATAAAGCCTAAAGGGTCGATGCTCAGTAGTTAATGAATGGAAGAGGTATATGGGTTTCAAAGATTAAGTCGAAAATCCCCTTCTAAAATCCCGAAAAATGCATTGAGGGCCTATATGACCCACTGCGATTTCTATATCTTTGCCAGTCCTTATCCGATTCTTGAACGGAATACCTTAAACGATTTCTGGATCGATTCTCTACTAATCTGCATCAAAATCTAGAAACACATAATTTTTGAGATTTATTGTCAAAATTTCTGGGTGTCCCCTTCTAAAATCCCGAAAAATGCTTGGAGGGCCTATATAGCCCACAGCGATGGCTATATCTTGACCAATTCTTATCCGATTCTTGAGCGGAATACCTTAAACGATTTCTGGATCGATTCTCTACTAATCTGCATCAAAATCTAGAAACAAATAATTTTTGAGATTTTTTGTCAAAATTTCAGGGTGTCCCCTTCTAAAATCCCGAAAAATCATGGAGGCCCACATATGGCCTATATGGCCCACAGCGATGGCTATATCTCGGCCAATTCTTATCCGATTCTTGAGCGGAATACCTTAAACGATTTCTGGATCGATTCTCTACTAATCTGCATCAAAATCTAGACACAAATAATTTTTGAGATTTTTTGTCAAAATTTCTGGGTGTCCCCTTTTAAAATCCCGAAAAATGCATGGAGGCCCACATATGGCCTATATGGCCCACAGCGATGGCTATATCTCGGCCAATTCTTATCCGATTCTTGAGCGGAATACCTTAAACGATTTCTGGATCGATTCTCTACTAATCTGCATCAAAATCTAGACACAAATAATTTTTGAGATTTTTTGTCAAAATTTCTGGGTGTCCCCTTTTAAAATCCCGAAAAATGCATGGAGGCCTACATATGGCCTATATGGCCCACAGCGATGGCTATATCGCGGCCAATTCTTATCCGATTCTTGAGCCCACAGCGATGGCTATATCTTGACCAATTCTTATCCGATTCTTGAGCGGAATACCTTAAACGATTTCTGGATCGATTCTCTACTAATCTGCATCAAAATCTAGAAACAAATAATTTTTGAGATTTTTTGTCAAAATTTCAGGGTGTCCCCTTCTAAAATCCCGAAAAATCATGGAGGCCCACATATGGCCTATATGGCCCACAGCGATGGCTATATCTCGGCCAATTCTTATCCGATTCTTGAGCGGAATACCTTAAACGATTTCTGGATCGATTTTCTACTAATCTGCATCAAAATCTAGACACAAATAATATTTGAGATTTTTTGTCAAAATTTCTGGGTGTCCTCTTATAAAATCCCGAAAAATGCATGGAGGGCCAATAAGGCCCACAGCGATGGCTATATCGCGGCCAATTCTTATCCGATTCTTGAGCGGAATACCTTAAACGATTTCTGGATCGATTCTCTACTAATCTGCATCAAAATCTAGAAACAAATAATTTTTGAGATTTTTTGTCAAAATTTCTGGGTGTCCCCTTATAAAATCCCGAAAAACGCATGGAGGGCCTATATAGCCCACAGCGATGGCTATATCTTTGCCAATTCTTATCCGATTCTTGAGCGGAATACCTTAAACGATTTCTGGATCGATTCTCTACTAATCTGCATCAAAATCTAGAAATCTAAGTCTATATAATACTCACATTTCCGTAACTCCTGATACTAGAAGGACTCAAGCTGAAAAGTCGCCCTAGTTGGTGGTGATGGGTGGGCGATCCATTGCTATTCGCCGATGAGATATCCGTGAACATGGGGGAGTGTGAGTGATCTGAGAAGATTGAGTATAAGCATTTTATTTTATTTTTAAAATTATGATTATTTTACCGCTCAACACTGGCGACATGTCCTTGGGGAAGGAGAACAAATCATTGTTGTTTCTGATGTCCGAGGAGTTCAAGGTCAGGCTGGGCTTGCGCACCCCCAGAAAATTGGAGGCCGAAGAGGCGCTGGAGCAGCCGCTCCCACCTGCCCCCGAGATGCCATATCCCAGGCGGGTAGGCGTGACATTGGGCAGGTGGTGGGACTCCAGGGGCGAGGCGGATTTGGGTATGCCACTGCTGCAGCTAGTGCCCGGAGTGACCCGCTTCAGAACAGGAGCCGGCGGCAGCTGGGAGGGAGAGGGCCGGAAAACGCCCACTGTGTGCGGATGGCCAAGTGTGCTCGGGTCACCCGGTGGCTGTTTGGGAATGGCCAATCTTAAAGTTTGCCGGGCAGCTAGCCTTCTTCCAGGCGCGTACTTATTGGCCGACTGAGCAGTCGACGCCTGCTGCGGCAGCGACGTCGACCCGGCGTTCTCAGTGTGGTGAGCTTGCGCCGCTGTATGCACTAGCTGTGGTGAGTTCATGGCTAACAGAGAGTGAGAGAGAAACCTGTTGCTCTCTGGGTTTGGTTTTATGTTTTAATTTGTTAAATTATAGTTTTTTTAAATAAAAATTTAATTTTTTATTTATAATTTTTTTCTATTTATAATATTTGATTGGTTCTTTTTTCTAGGTAGGTAGTTTATTTGTTTATATTGCTTTTGTTGTCACTGTTATCTCTCTGTTAACACTTTTTTATTGCCTTTGTTGCTTTTGCACTTTTTGCTTTTTTATCAATGAATTGTTTGTTGTTATCGTTGTTGTTGTTGTTGTTGAGTATTCAGGGAACTGCAATGATTGCATAATTATATTGTATGCACATGCGTGTGTAAACAAAAGCGGCTGAGCGGTATAATAAATTAACTTACAACTCAGTCGGCAGATTTTTTTATTGCTGCAATTTCTTGGAACGTGCCAATGGCAAAATTTGCTTTTGCCAGCCTTTTCTTCTTCTTCTTTTGACCCACTTGTCTTGGCGGGAAGAATACAAAAAAAAATGCAGGTAATACCGTGAATATTTTTCTTAATTTTTTTGATGACTTTTTTTTTCTTTAATTTACCGGATTTGATGTTCCCACAGTTTTAGTTTTATTTTTTTTTATTAAACTTAATTTTGAACTTGAGAATCGCTATGCTACGTGGTCGAGAGTCTCAATCTCCGGAGCAAATAATATGAGAATTATCCGACAATGAGAAATCTCCGTCGAATTTTCGTGACTTTGCGTGGGACCAGCGACCATAAAAGCCACACGCCATTTAATTCTCGGGTTAATCTGTAATAAATATATAGACACATGTATGGGCATCAGTATATATATACCGAGAAATTCGTTTTAGTTAAATTACTTGGAAACGTGAATGAATCTTAAGCTACAATATGGCTATGGCTATGACTTTATTTGTCTAGAAATGGTGGGTTGAGAGATAAATGCCCTTGAACTGGGTAGAAGAGAATAGGTCTAACTGGTATAGATTTTTATTAAAAATAATAATCAATTGATTAAGTAATCTAATTGACCTGGTTATAGGTTATCTTGGAAACTAGTTCAATTATATACCGAACTGTAATCGAACTTGGTTATGTGATATTGGAACTTGCATCCATTCATATCCCTTACAATTTATTGACAATTTATCAATTAGAGATTTGTTAACCCACTTGGCCAATTGCAGCTCCGCTGACAACTAATTAGCAACAATGTCAGTTGGAGTGCACACACGCTGATTGATGGCCAGCCATGGCGATTGACGATTGACACGAAATATTAAAGAGCCATGTTCCCAGGACGGGGTTGGCCAACAATTAGTGAGATATTCTTTGAAGTTGCAGTCGAGGAGTTGAAGTGCAATTTGCATATGACAGGCAGATCGGATACAGACAGTCAGAGATTACAAAAAAAAATCCAAATGTGTGATTCGTGAAAAGCCGTTGGCCTCTGGTTCGCCTTAAAGAGCTGCAAATTTTTTGAATATTTGCACACGGATTTACAATAAATTGCAATTATGCAAATTGAAAGACTCGAAACGTTTTGGAGAGTCGCATGGAGCTCGTCGGCCAGAAATGCCAGACATTAATCATGGCGAGTATTTAGCAATTATTGATATTGACGGGGCGTGTCAATGGCTGGGCAATGATAAATGATTTTGGCATGTCGAGTGTCGAGTTTTGTTTGTTTTTCGATTTTTACAAATATTATACCAATATTACAGAGTAGACTACGAGATAATTGCCTTCTATACGTCCTTTTTACGAGAGCTAGAAACTAATATACAATGTAAATTTGAGAATGGAGCATCAGGAAGAATCATCAAAAAATAAAGATTTGGAAAATGAACATGTTTTGGAGGAAAACTCAAAAATATCCCGCCGATGGGTGCATCCCTGGCGCCTCAAGGTGGCGCCCCTCTTCAAGCCGATACGCCGACCTCTATTTTCGGGCATGAATTTCAAGTGTTACATGGTCACGGTCTTGTCCGGTCGGAGGAGGAACAAGCGCTTCTTCCTTAACGTGACGCGCTATTACAGGCTGATGCCGAAGGTCCTTTCCACCGTTTTGAATACTCTTCGATGGAAAAACTGGCACACTTTCTTTATGCTCACTACGGCGCGAGAATTCCAACGCTGGCGACTTCGGTATCCCATGAGTCCAATAACATTTGGTATAGAAAGTGTAGCGGTTTCGAAAACCGAGCAACTCCTCAAGAGACTGTGGACTCCCAAGCCAAAGCCCAAGAGGAGGGAGGCCAACGGAAGGAAGAATCGGAATGGGAGCTTAACAAACACCACAATTTTTGATGAATAAACTTAATGACAACATAAGGAAGGTACTTTTCCTATGAGATATGGGAAGAATACATACTTCAGATGATAATCCGCAGGCCTATGGGGTGCACAAGGTTAATTGCGGATTTATTTTCACGTTTCTGAGTTCGTTCATCTGTATGTCTGGCCTCAGGGCGACTCGGCCATCGAACTAAAGGTGAAATTTATACGAAATTTATATAGCCATACGATTTTCCCGGTAAACAAATTTAGTTTGATTTATTTGATGCCGCTTTCTTAGATAGACACTTTGACGCGCTGCCGGCATAAGTCAGGATGGCCGAGTGGTCTAAGGCGCTGCGTTCAGGTCGCAGTCTACTCTGTAGGCGTGGGTTCGAATCCCACTTCTGACAAACTTTTTTTTCTTTTTCTTTTTTTTAAACTAATTTTAATTAATTTATTTTATTTAAAAAAAACATCTTTAATTTACTATAATTAACTTAAAATTAGTAAAATCAACAAAAAGAAAGTCAGAACATTTTCTGGCACTCGCTACTTTAACAGTCAGGATGGCCGAGTGGTCTAAGGCGCTGCGTTCAGGTCGCAGTCTACTCTGTAGGCGTGGGTTCGAATCCCACTTCTGACAATAATATATTTTGTATTTTATTTTGTATATTTTGCTTCTTTAATGGCAAGTAGTACATATATTTTCCGCTTTGGGTGCGGGGCAAAGACCCTCAAATCACAATCAAGCCATTTCTCACGCCTTACTGACAATAAAAAGTGGAAACCTACATCGTGGCTGGGGGCTTGTATTTGTTTAGTGTATTGTGGTTCATATTCACATGATATTGGGTAATCGAGGGGGCATTAAAGTGCATTAGGCGTGCCGCAAAACGGCTTATCACGGCGCGAACATGACGGCTGCGTCGCAAGTCATTCATCAAACGACTGACCGTGAGGAGGTGGCTTGTTTGGCTACTAATGGATACAGGTTTACGGCCAGAGGAACGAATCCCCATCCCCGAACACTAGATAAACACTCGAAACACAGAACTGATAAACCCGTCCAGACCCCAGACCTCAGACCTTGTGCGGCAAATGCTTTCGATTCCCCATTCCGATTTTGTTGACGCAGTGGGTTTGCGCAATTCTCTGCATTCGCATTTATAGATTTATACATATATATATATATTTTTTATATGATACGAATATATACTAAACAACAGAACTGACCCAGCCGAATGGCATTGAGCTCCTGCCCTGAAATCGGAATCCAAGTCGGAATCAGAGTCAGTATCATAATCCAAACCCAACTGTGTCAGTTGCTTCGAGTGACTCTGCTTTGTTTACAAACAAATAGGGAAGAATTTCATTTCACCTCGAAGTTAAATGGTGTCAGTTCCATATTTATCCATACCTCAAGCTTTCTGCAATGTTGACATCTATTTAGGCATAAATAAAATTCATTAAATTACTTGCTGATTGGATGATCATTATTGATAATAACTGGGTTTAGCACTCTCCACTCTAGCATAGCTCCCAACAACTAAGTACATTTTGTTTATATTAGCTGGGATATTAAGGCAACAAGTTCAATGGCAATGGCTTGTCATAACATTTTTCGATTTGATTTTTCCGTTTCCAGCATCACAATTTCAGATTCTTGAGCTTTTGGTTATTTTCCTTTGATAAACAAATAATTAGCGGGAAAAATGCGCAAATGCAAATTAGACACATGTCTATGGCTCGGTCTCAGCTCATATCTATCTGAAAATACTCTCCCCATTATGAAGATGTGTCGGCATATATTCAAAGGCATTCAAGGCATAAACAATGCCCATCCATTCTTTGTCAAAATATTAATTTGAATTTCCTTTCACTACCGAGCACTTTCGTGCAGTTTTTTGCGGAAAAACTGTCGTCGACTGTCGTGGCCAAAACTCATTAAAATATCCATTTCCCAGCACTTCGACATAAAATAAGCAAGAAGCTTCTACTACCAATCATAATAAATAATAAAAAATATTAAAAAGCAACAAAAGACAGCCGCCAGTTAATGAGAAGGGTTCGCAAGCCATTCCATTCTCATGCTGGCCTGCCACGCCCCCCTGAACCGGATTATTATTAGCGAGTTCGGTCTTTTCTTTATTTTTTTAACGTTGCGGGTCTTGACCTCTTTTCCAGTTACGCTTTTTTTTTTTGGGAAACCCATAAAGGCCAGTACGGAGTTATAGATATTAATGGCACAATTCTTTAAGACCATGTTTTCTTTTGTTCGCTGGCAGCGCGATTGTGTGCCAGGCCCAACCTCGAGTCCAAACCCAGAGATAAGATTTATCTGTATGGAAAATGACTGAGTAAACAGTTTGTCGGCATTTGTACAAAGTGCAGCGTAAAGCAGCTGATCGAATCGATTTAATTTGCAATTATTCCGTCATAAAACTGGCCAGCGCTTGTTAGTTAACTCTCAATTAGTTTTGTAATGCTGGCAAATTAGCGTCCATAGCAATTATCCACAGATACTCTGAAATATATATTTCCTTCACGTCCAGAAAGTTGAATAATTTGCATAACACCCGCATTTATGTCAGTCTTCTAAACAAATATATATATATTCTCAGACAAGCACGATTTCTTTCAGAGAAAGCTACAGCGAGTGTTGAGGAAACTGCTCATTTGGTCCGCTCACCACAGATGTCAGGATGGCCGAGTGGTCTAAGGCGCTGCGTTCAGGTCGCAGTCTACTCTGTAGGCGTGGGTTCGAATCCCACTTCTGACAAACTTTTTTTTTCTTTTTCTTATGTTTTAACTAATTTTAATTAATTAATGTTATACGAGAAAACACATTTAAATTACTATAATTAACTTAAAATAAGTAAAATCAACAAAAAGAAAGTCAGAACCTTTTCTGGCACTCGCTACTTTAACAGTCAGGATGGCCGAGTGGTCTAAGGCGCTGCGTTCAGGTCGCAGTCTACTCTGTAGGCGTGGGTTCGAATCCCACTTCTGACAAATGACTTTTTGCCTTTTTTTTTTGTTTTGTTTTATTTCTGAAATTAAATTGTTTATTCTTTCAAGCTAATTTTGGTTAGTTTTTAGTTGTCTGCGGAAAAATATGTACGCGTTCGTGTGTGTTCCCTGTTTATGGCATAAACAAAAACATGTGCAAAAGGCCAAAACTTCAATCAAGTGAAATGGAAATTGAAAATTGAAAATGGAAAAACATGTGGGAATACGCAAAACAAATTGTTTGGGCAAATGGAGAAAGAACGCAGGAGGTTATGCGAATGGAACATACATATGCTTCCCGGAATTGCCAAATTCCGTATCTGTGGCCGAGAGGCTCCATTAGGGCTTCATCGTACAAATAGATTTCCAAATACTACCCATTCGTACACATTTTAATGTGGGTGTCGTCTTTTTGGTTTTATTGAAAAGGAAAATCACAGTGGCAGCGATTTGTGGGTGGGAATTTAATTTGAATTTAATAAACTTTCGGCGAAGATAAATTAAAGCCATTCCAACTGCCAATCCCCGGCATGGGGAGGTGATAACTCATGGCGCCTCCGCTGTCTGTATGTTTAACATTTAAATTACTTGTTTCTTTGTTTTTTTTGGGTGTTTTTTTGTGGGTAATTTATCCGATGCCCTTTCATTGATTGACTTGACTTTTATGTGCATTTTTATAGGCGTTGAATTGACGTGTATACAGCCCAAATAAGAGGCCCGACAAAAAAAATCCCCAAAATGTGTACACTTACGAAGTTTATGACTCTGCAGAAATACACATTTTCAACTCTATACACACTGAATTTTAAGTAAGTTTGTGGCAGAAGATGTGCAACTTACAGCCGACGATGCAAGTGCTGCGCGTTGGGAGCGTTTCACAAGCGATCGAAATCGCGTCGGCAGATAAGCAGCAACGGAAGCTCCGGATGCGGCTGCGGCTGCGGCTGCTGGATTTTGTTTTTTGGGTTATCTCTCAAGGGGATGGAAATCTTTGGGATTCACACAAAAATTCCTTCAAGTCAATCAACCCGTCAGTTATGCTGATGATATTTCATTTTTAGCATTTCGGCTTTTGGCTTTTTAGTCGGGTTTTCGCCTTTTGTTGCTGGTGTATTTATAGACGCACACATGGAAGCGCAGCCAAAATTAAAACGCACAAATATCACACAAAAACACACACAGGGAATTTCGTAATTGCACGGCCGGTTGGGATTTTTCAAAAATTTATTTTTTTTTTTGTTTTGTAAATTACTAAACACACTCTATAAGACACAGATTTCGTTTTAATATAATCTTCGGTAGCAACTAAAGTTGTTTTTTTTTTTTTATAAAAACAAACGCGCACAAAAGCGACGAGTGGCTGCTTTTATTTACCGTTTACCGCTCGATGTTGACTGCGACGCCGTCGCCGACTGAATGCAGCGGGCAGTGCCAGAGCAGCGACACAAAAGCTAACCGATCCACAATGGGAAGAGTTCGATCTTTGCTAAGAATTAATTATGAAGAAAAAATTATTTTTGAGGAAAAATAATTTATTATAATTTAACATTGTGTTAAAATTAAAAAAACAAACAAAGTGGTATAACTGAAGGTATTTATTAAAAAATATTATTTAAGTCTTTAAAAGAAATCTTTACTTATAAATATCTACATAAGTATTGTGGTCAAAGTTTAGGCCTTAAAAACATATTATTTTCCCACTGTGCGATCGTGGGAGCAACTGAGAGAGGGCGTGAGAGTTTGGCGAGAGGGCTCCCACTATCGAACTCAGAGTGAGAGCCAGAGAGAGACCAAGAGAGTGCGTGGGCGAGAGCAAACACAAAAGCTCAAATATACAAACAAAATTTATACCGTTGCACGTGCAGTGCAAAAACACAATTTATATGGAAATGTATCCCGAAGATACATAGTCAAATATTAAAGGAACACAAATTGCATGTTTAATTAAGTGTCTTCTATAACAGGCGTTTTTTGTGTGCAGCTCGTACTCAAGTGCTTTCCCGCCCATCGTGTGGATTCGCCCCCGCA